AAAATATGTATTGTGCTACAGACGCAAAAAAGACTGTGTCCAAAATTTAAATAATTGTGTGGGATATTGAAAAACCCTCAAGAATCAAAAAGATTGTTCTGTTCTAATCGCACACAACCCAAAACATTATTTGACGACCGAACAACAAGAAAAGTCTCCCTAACTCTATCTCCTCACTGAACACTTCAAGCGTCCGTGATGCCAATAGTATGTAAAATGCTTGACATATAAGAACCAAATGCATGGCACAGATCACCGACGAGTTCTTTTATACTCAGGTGGTAAAGATTCAGGCGCGAGATAAGAACTGGAGGGGGAAACGACGAATCATCACAAAGAACTCAGACGGTTATTTATCTCCCACATTTCACTTTTTATCATCGGTTCAATGCGCACTGAAAAGCCAAGTTGTAGCAACAATTAAATGCGCATAACAACTGAAAGTATCTTCTAATATACATACCTTCAGCCTCTGTAGTTGTTCCGAATCCTAATGAGCTTGTTGTACTTCTGAGAGGTTCCCGCTTGCCGCTTCATAGGATGAGTTCACCAAGGACGCGACTGGTGGCAAAGATGCCGTGCTGTTGTCGAAGGTCTACCAAAGAGTGAACAAATAAACTCAAATCATAATGAACAGTGCAGACAACGACTAAATAGAAACCTTAAAGGGAAACTATAACTATAAACTATAACTGCCGAGCATAGTGTGAAAAGCCCGCGTTGCAACTGGACGTCTCACTCCGAACCTGGGTCAAAAAGCCCCGCGCAGTCCGGTAGTAAGGCTGTGCTTGATACAGGTTGCTCTACAACTGCTTCAGGAACTTTTCAATTTCGATTCTCAAGTAATCCAAAAATAATCTGAAACTGAATCGGTTATGCTTTTCTACGTTCGATGACTGGTTCACGAAACATGCGCCAATTTCTCAACCACCCAGATGCTAAACGAAAACGAATCGCTTCCCTGATTATGCGCGTTCTTTCCCTCTTGAAGGAATTAAAAGTCTTCATAGGCTTGTAGCATCTCAATTTCTATCCTAATTAACACACAGCCGATAACCGTTCTAGTTTATCTTTTCAAGCTCAAGCTCTAGCATGAGCCCTACGCGACCTTCTTCAATCCCAAGTGTATACCAGTACAAAACTGCGAGAGAACTTCTTAAGACCAAGTTTAAGTATGCTACGCTCGGTGACTTGAAGCGAAGCGCTCATCTTTTACTCATGTCTGGACCCACTCGACTGATCAAAAAAGCTTCTTAACACCCTGCGCAGCTGACGGTTTTGTGCGCGATATACGCGCCAAGTGATGTGCGTCAAGCCGCGAATGGAACATATCTTCGATAACAAGCCTATCACGGTTTCGCTCCTTGTAGCTTAAGCGCACGCTAAACCGCCAGCTACGCAAGACGTAGCTTCTTCTTTTCTTTTATTTACGATAGCAAACGGTCAATGCCACCATATTAACAAATGGCCCCATGACCTACGCGCGTCTTATACGTTGGACGCTGCGTTTTCTCTTACTTGCCCTTCCATCTAGTGTCATTCTTCACGAAAACATTTAGAATAGTTCAAAATCATTATTAAAATCAATCAATCCATGCATTCATCAATTTCAAGGGCTACTCTTCACATTCAAATTTGCCACTTTCCTTACATTTCCTAACAAGCGACTGACAAAAACTTGGCCCAGAGTACGTAAGCTTTCTGCTCTGTTCACGTATCCAGTAATTTGGACCGAATGGATTCGAATCGCCCCAGTCAGTGGATCAGTGACGAAAAATGTTTAAGGAACAGCTTACAGACCAAAGGTGGTGACAATTTAGTATAAAAAAAACTTAGAACTCGTCCGTACCTCTTTCGCTTGCTCAGAGATATTAAATACCAGTTCAGCTGTGCGCGACGCATTCTGTGACCGAAGACCGAAGTCTTCGCAGTATCAAAGCACTTAAATCCTTCTTCCATATCGACCAGGTTTTTGTTTATCTTCGTCAGCAAACTCTGTCCTGAGGAGTATGACGCCGATAAACGATGCTCAACCTGACAAGAACAAAAAGAATCACCACCGTTTTAAACTCAGAATGCATCACATTATGAACACTAACCGTGTACTTTATTATGCAATGTACAGTAAATAGCAGCGTCGGCCAAAAAACGACGAACCAAAGTCATATACACTAATCAGTCTCTGGTGAAATAAAAGGCCGCTTTGTCGGCCAGCATGGTGACAAGCGCCAACCGCCCGCTAGACTTTTCATGCTTGACTCGCTAAGAAATAACAAATGATTAAATGAAAATGAAAGGAATAAAATTCTGCTTCTGCATCCCTCAGGCAACAATTAGCCCTCTTCGTTTCGACAATATTCAGCAGTTACGAAAGAAAGAAAAAATAACTCACATTAGTGACAATAATTAAGAAAAAACAGCGCAATCGACGAGCGAATCTGAAAAGTGTGGCAAAATATAGTATTTGACTGCCATTTAGTTTCATTTGAATCCATTTTCGGGATGTCCCACAAAGAATTTTAATAGGCGCTCAGGAGTATCTACATATTCAGGAAGCCGGGCCGCCTCGCACTTGGACATGTACCGTCTCGCACTTACATCTAAAGGTTACAAAACATGAAGCCACTTCCCCATTCCTTACCCTGTTAATTTGCTGCTGCTTCTTTAGCAGATCCTCGTGGATCACATAGTTTTCAGGGGGGACAAAGGGGGATCAGTCGTCGCCAACAGAGTTAAAGGGGTGACTATAGAAAATTGACCGCCAATCAACTGCCATAGGGGGGACCACACAAATACTACAGAACCTCGTGGGGGGATCAGGTCAATTTCATCGTGACACACCCAAAATTCCCCCAACCTTTCTCAGGCGATAGACAACGAAAGGCCTGGGATACTTATGCTTCAGGTTTTTTAGCTCAATTCCACCGTTTAACGTTGCAATCTCGCTTAATTAATTTCTCGTAAATTATCCCTTGACTATTTGTTACAACTCGCCTTGCCAACATTTGGAGAGCGTCTCTACAGAAAAGACATACTTAAGTGTACAATTTTTGTTCAATGCATTTCCATGGTATTCTGGTGCACACCACTGATAGTTGGACCCTGTGGTATTTTAAAGGCACTTAAGGCATTCGCCTGTTGTGATGTTACAGTTACCGGCGGCTGCAGGATCTGTGTTGTTGATACAGTTACACTTCGACATCGCCCTTCCTGTTCCTGTTCCTGTTAAAATTAATGAGTAAATAAATAAATAAAACATAAATGAATAGAAAGAGTAAAAGTAAGGCGGTTTAATTTCTCCAAAAAACACAATGAAAGGTAAACAGATGATGCAAAAGTATGAATAACGAAAAGGGCAAATAGAACACGGCACACGTTTAAAATGAAGCTGAGTTTCGCATTTAAACCAACCAAAAAGTGGTAAATCAATATGAAGAATGGATGGGGACTGAAATGGCTTCAAAGACATTCACTTTATCGGTCATAGGAGGATCCATTTCGTACATTTTAGCATCAAAATTATCAACATAATAAACTGTTACGGGTGATTTTTTTATTGAGTGTCCGAACCATTACGAGATTTGCATTGGCTACGCTTAATCACGTTCGATCCGTAATTTTAAACCAAAATGGCTGCAAAGCTGGTCACTCATATTTCTACGCGCTTTAAACAGTTTGAATGTGATTTCTTCGAATTCCCGTTGGCTTCAAGCGTAGTTCTCCTATATTCTGATGAGTCATTTTGATTATTTTGGTCTTTGATTTTACAACGTAGGATTGTCGTTTATCGAGGTTCCACACCTCACTGAGCCTCACACTTACCCTTGGCCGTCCAAAGTAACCGTCCATACATCGTTCACAATACCGTCCCTCGTGGCCCACGGTGCAGTTCACACAGATAGACCGTCACTGGAAAGCACACAAGTCTTAGCGAATTGATTGAAGGCAAATTGTCCGCTGGGGCATGGGCACGGGCTGCTGTCGTTAGGTATGGCATTAGTGGCATTAATGGTATTTCCATACCAACCATCTTGACACTCTTCACAATGGTCGCCTGATAAACAATAATAAAAATTTGCACAGAACAAAAATTAAAAGAAGTAACTAACTATGCAATATTTGGTCATTGTAAATCAAGATAAGCACATGAATTCATAAAAAGAGGTCGTGCATAAGTTGTACTAGGGCATTGGAATCCAATCTCTTGAGTCTTACATTGTGTCTCTCAAAGTTCTTTTTTCTCCGACACATAATCAAGTTTAAGGACTTTTTTCTCCCTAGTCTCGAAAATATTTGCGCATTCCTCTTCCTTCGAAGAAATTTTTCGTCTCTATTATCTTCATGGCTAATACCTGTGTGGCTGTGTTGCCACGGGGCATGTACAATTCTCAATGTACATCGCTCCTAAAAAATAAAATCAATCTACATTAATCAGTTTTATCAAGCTAAATTATTTAAAGCCCCCTAATGTACCAATCTCCATTGCAGCCATCGCTTGATGTTGTTGCCTAAAACACTCTTGTTGTGTGACAAGACCAAGAAATGGTTTTGAAAGAGACTGTGATGTTGTGTGAATTTGTTGTTGGGCTTGATAGTAATAGTCATGGTCTCTTTTTACGGTAAATTTTGATTTATTTTCTCTAAACAATAGGATTTCATTTGTACATAACTATCAAAGTCAAGCCCCTCGATGCAGAAGGGGCACTTCACCTTTCCACAGCCCAGTCCACAACAGTTGCATTCACATAAAAAATCTAAAGTTGCCTGCAAAAAATGGATACTTCTTATAAATACTTGT